GATAATTGAGAAAGTCATACTTTTTATATATAAGAAGAAACAAGAAGCTGTTGTACAATGAGAGAGCGATTTTGATATTGCATTATATTCATTTTATTTTATAGTAGCCTGTAGCAGTCCATGTATTCGCTGAATGGTAATTGAGAGAAATGATTTGGCCTTGTTTATAGGTCAGGTTTTGGTAAAGAGTTGGAAGCCTTGTGCAGCTGACATCCATTCCACGGAGTGATGCCAATCTACACGTTCCAGACGTTTTTCCAGAGCTTTGTGGATTCCCAGTCTAGGTGGCTGGGTGGCGAGCCAACCGTGTTTGTGACTCTGACTTTAGACGGATTGCCAGGATCTTCCTCATCTTCATGGTGGTAGGACAAACACTAACACAAACTTAAAAGGGCCCCAACGGTGAGAAATGAACTCTTGTCAATAAAGGCAAGTGGAACTGAGCTCAACAAAGTTAAAAGGAAAGTTTTTTTTGTGCGCACTTTATTATTTTAGTTTGTTATTTTTCATACCTGCTTTCTTATGTATGTACCATCCCTGTGTATTTAATACACTTAATGCAAACTGTCATTCGGGTGTGGTATTCTTTTTATTGACATTCAATTCTCAGGCTCTTAACAATTTAGTGACTTCTGATTCTGGTCCACATTGATGATAAGACTACTTTAGACTATTACACCTATGTACATTATTACTACCTCGTGATAAGGGTTACACCATTCTTTCTCACCCTTCTCTGTCCTTTTTACTTGTGTCCTGTTTTTCAGGGTCCCATCATAATTTCTTAAGAAGTAAGTACTGTATATGATGTCAGTATTTTCCAACATTTTCTAAATACTGTACCAGTACTGTGTAAAATGCCATCAAAAAGTCAATTAAGTGTTATTCTTTTTCACCTTTCTTTCTTTGTCTCCTTTCACTTTTTAAAGGCTGCCATGTTAAAAAAAATATTTTGTGCCGCCATGCTGTTTGTTGATGTGGTAAATAAATAGTTTATGAAAATACCACTAAATCTGTCATTTATTAATTTTAATATTCATTAATGATCATGTCTCACCTCTAGTCTTCTCTGTCTTAATTTCAGGTTTCCACCATGTGTTGTAGATAGTTCAGGAGGAGGTTAACTTGACCAAGCAGTCTTTTGTTTTCCGCTAATTACTGTTTAGAATACCAGAACAGGGAGGATGATGTAGGTTTAAGTTTATTAGATTGATACATATATACCAACAAGACAGTGTACATCGCTGTCAGAACAGCGTTTGTTTTCATTCAAAGGCTTTATGGCTTTGCCAATAATACTTGGTGGGCCGGTCTCTAGTCAAAATGCCCGGCCGATTTTTTGTCCAGCCCTGTCTATAACTATAATTTTCAGGACCAATTAGAGTTTGAGACCTTGGGAGTGAGGACATTTTGTCTGTTCCTCACTTTGGGACAGACCTTTAAAAGAGTGTTTTAGGGTGAAGATTAAATAAAGTTTAATTTCAATGAAGGTTTGGGTCATTTAGTTGTGATGGTTAAGAGTTAGGGACAAAGCTATACTGTGAGAGACAGAGAGAGCTCTCTGCTGGCTGTTGACTCCAGAGCGCCATCATGAGGTCAGTCTGTGTTTCTGTTTCTTTTGTTTTTAATTCAAAGAAATCTCAACATCTACTGAACAGACTGATATTTTTGCACATGAATTTAAATACTTCCAGTAGTGGAGTGTAACTAAGTACATTTACAAGTTCATACAAAGATGATCTAGTTAGTAATCCATTATGCTTCCTCATCTCTGTTGGGTCTGTGGTCACTTTCCATCAGGGAGGCGGAGACACACCATTTGTTTTTTCAAAACTGACTTCTCTAAATTAAAGAAAGTGGATTGTGCATCTACAGGTGCATTTCAGAAATTTGAATATCTTGCACAAGGTATTTTTATTTTCATAATTTAAGTCAAAAAGTGGAACTTTCTCGAGTCAATCACAAATTTTAAATTCCTTCTCTAACTTTATTTTTAGACTATATTTAAGTAACATTTACACAACATTTTACATAATATTTGTTAAATTTGTTCTTGATGTTTTTCTTTATTGAAACAATGAACAAAAAAATGAAGCAACTGTTTCATTTAACAACCCATTTATTTTTCTTAAGTGAAGAAATAATTTTCTCAATAAAACATTTTCCAGCAAGTTTGCATGACAATACAACAAGGTATAGTTCACCCTAAGACTCATTTTGTTATCAATTACTCACCCTTTTGTCAATAGAAGGATTGGTGAAGTTTTGTTAACATCCGTGTTCTTCTGCGAGTTTGAGACACGTTTTTTTTCCACTCAACTGCAGTGAGCGGTATCTTAGCTTCAAACGTCCAAAAATACATCAATAATCAATAAAATGTCTCCATGCTGCTTGTCTGAGTGTCCTGTAGCTCACACATGCCAAGACGTTTGTAAAAAACATTACAAACGTGTGTTCAGCTTAGTTTGCTCTGCTGCTCGTCCCATGCGTGCTCCTTCCAACGCCACACACTACTAGTAACACTACTAACTTTCCATCCTAAACATTTGAAATAATTTCACTAAGTTTAGGAAGTTTAGAAATTTTGTCTTTGAATCATACAAAAAGGAGAAGACTGCCAACTGAGGAGGAAAGAGGAAGCGTTCAATCACATCCCCAATACAACTCTATGGGAAAAGCCCGTAACGGCAAAGATGGCGGTTATCCCGCCCCTCCCGCTAAAAAGCCAATCATCTGCTTTAAACAGCCAAAACGGGAATCATATTTCAGCCAATCGTGTGGTTCCACTGACACATGCATAGTAGAAGCATAACCGGTGGGGAAAAACTCTTTTTAAACATTATTTTGGGGCAAAGTCGTCAAACTTTTTCAGGGATTTTTATCAGATTTTACTGCTGATTCTATTCATGTAGTTTTTATGTCCCAGTGACCAGTGAAAGCTCAGTTCTGGCTCTCTCCCCATTCATTCAGATAGGAGCCTGGTTTTGTTAGTATGAAATTGCTGCCCAGAAGCGTTGCCAAGATGGCTGCCGAGTGGCATGACTTGCCTAAAAGGACTTTGGTACCGATAACAGCTGAGGTTTGCACTCGCTTGTACACGCACAAACAACCTGTAGTAAATCTGGCCTTATGGACCTTATGCACAACTCTAGTGATTCCTGAACTTTATTTCCTGTCTCTCAGTATTGGAAACACTGAATAATACAGAGAAGAGAGGACAGAGGAAAGAGAGAAGGGAGGATGGACGAGGAGAGTGGAAGTAACTGTATGCATTGAAACTTTAACTCAACCTTTCCTAAACTATCGGTTGGGACCCAAAGTGAAATGTCAATTTTGTGAATTTATTTTCCTCAGTTCAGCTCAGGTGCGTCTCTCTCTACCTCTATTTTTTACCCTCTCTCCATTTCTCTCCCTGACTCTCACAGACTCAAACACAAAAACCTTTTTTGTTCTCATGTAAACAATTAAATGTGACTAATTTCAATGTTCAGTTTCCTATGTCTGCAGGAGGCGAAGGTTGAATATATGTTTGAGCTGAAGGTGCAGTTTTTGAATACACATGCAACAACTTCAAATCTCCTCAAATGGCTTCCAAGATATTCAAAATATTGCCTCTCTGAATCAAAACAAGCGGAAAATTTTGAATCTGGAAAATACAGACAGAAATAAATCAAACCTCATCTGAACTAGATTTTCATATCAGCATAAAAGTCAGTTTAAAACTAAGAATGAGAGGTGCATAGGGTTTTAGATTTACCTTACATTAACCGTTCAAATCAGATATTGTAGCAGGAGAACGTTTCTGGTGGAGGCTGTAAAATACAAAGAAATCTATTAATGCATCGTACTCAAAGCTACTTTAATGCCAGGCATAATGGAGAATCATCAGATTGTCCTTTCAACTTTTGTATGCATTACATTTTATGCACATATATAACACATAACTTCATAAATCCAAATATATTCTGCTTCATTTAATTTGGAATAGTATGTATATACTGTGATGACGGTAAACCTCTTACAACTTCTGAAGTGCGAAGCACTACACAATATTTGTTTTACCTGAATAGCCAGATGGCTTTGCTTGTGACAGAGCTTGTTGTAGTTGCTGCTTGAGAGGGCACTGTCAAATGTAGACTTTTGTTGCTTTGGGCTTAAGGACAAACACACAAAGACAAAATACTACATTAAAACTACAGAATCATGTAACCAAAATTAACTGTACCACTGTCAAACCAATGTATTTTTGATAATATGCTGTCAAAATATTTGAAAATATGACTCTGATCTTAAAATTACACATCTTTCATACAGAATCGGAACCATTTCTACATGTAAAATCTTAAAGTAAGAAAATCCTGCATTTTTGCCACTGTGATTCTGTTCCTCTCCTGAAAAAGGCAGTAGAGCATTGCTGGTCTAGATTCACGTTGTTGAGAGAGAGCTGTGTCATATGTATCAAGAATAATGCAGAATCAAAATTTAAACAGTGTAAACAGAATCAGAAAAGACAACAATGTGGCTTCATATCAAATTATGAGCAAAATATAGACGAGGGAATTAGAAATAAAGGGATCCAAATAAAATGATGGTCTTTAGGAAGCATGTGGAAGCAAATTATCACAGCAAATGTTTTTGGATAGATCATTTTATTTTGTCAAATTCCCACAAATTAATCTGAATTTCAGATACTTAAGGCAAAACTCAAAAAGCCAAATTTCAACAAGTGGTGCTTCTTTTTAGTTTAAATATGACACATAAAAAGCATTTTCATATATGGAATAAAATATACAGCAACTAGAGTTGAGCCGGATACTCGGCTGAAACGAGTATCCGGTACGGATAAAGCACTTTTGCCGAGTAACACGAGTCAGTATCTGTGCTCGGATTGGATAAAAATCCTCATTGGGTAGCTGACTGTGTCTGCGTTCTGTGATAGGCTAGTCACAGCGCCCCTACAGATTTATTGTGTCCCGCTCTGCTCACTCACACACAGAACACTGAGAAGAGAACAGCTCTCTCTCTGTCTCTCCCTCAGTCACTCAGGTTCGCGGGTCTTTTCCGTTAACGTTTAGGGTTTCTTCAGCTTCAGGTTTGTTTTTTACTTCTGGTTTGTAGTACTACTTACTTATTAACCAGTAGAGTTCTGGTAAACGTGGGGTTTGTTCAGACGTGGTGCTTGGTAGAATGCGACTCGCGCTGCGTCTCTGCCTGTCGGAGATTTTTATTTCTTTTTTAAACCGTCAGCTGGCTCTAACCAGTTTTTTTACTTCACGCACTGAGTGTCTGATGCTTTCTTGCTGTATGTTATAAAAACAATAAAGCTAGTTGTGGTATAAATAAATTATTTAAAATAATATTACAAATTAAGTTAAACACACACAAACACCACCCCCCTCTCTCTTACTCACTCACAAACACATACCTGGTGTGGAAATAAAAAAATAAAAAAATTATAAATAAAATAAAAAATAATCACACTGATCATAAAAAAAATAAATTTCTGATCAGCCCATATCAATTGCATGCTTAAAATAACATACCGGTTAAAGTCCCGCCCATTTCAAGACAACCCGACCCACTTCCAGGTTAAATCCCAGTCCGAGTACAGATACAGATAATTTATATGGTTAACGCAGATACAGATGATGCTGTACTCGCTCATCCCTAACAGCAGCAGTAAGAAACAAATCTGAAATGCCAATAAAATCATCTTTAACATGATAAACTGAGTGACATCTTGTGGGAACGAACATCTCTCCTGTTTGCTCTGCAGATGCATAAACTGTCTGTCTCTGTAAGATTTTAGATTTGTGGCAAACTAAGAGTACACTGCAAAATAACAAAACGATAGCTTCCTCTTTAGCTTATTTATAATAATTAGCATCAGGGTTTTGGTGAGGTCTGGCAGAGGCTGCTCGAGGCCTCTCCAAGCCGACCTAGAGAAGCTGCAAATAGTTGAAACGTTTCTTCCTCCTCCCTTACCCCTACGTGTAACGTTAGCGGTTGTGT